TAAATTTTTTTTTAAACTGGAATCGGTAGACGGTTTTGAGTTGAAACATTTGTTTAAATGTCTCGAGACATTTCTAACCTTCAATTAGGTCGAGTTCGACTCAACTACAAGAAATGCTGAATTTAAATCTTATATAACAGAAAAATGCAAGAAGCCAGATCCTCCAACCTATGGTACCATCAAATGTGACAATAAATTATTCGTCGGATCGAAATGCGAGTTCAAATGTGAGGAAGGATACGAAAGAGTTGGAAAACCAAAAACGATTTGCGAAAAGTCTGGAACGTGGAGTGAAAAAGCACCAAAATGCATACGTAAGATGTTATTATACGTTTTCATGCCTCCACAACGTATAAGGCTGTGTAACAGCAGACACAGTGATACTACTTTTGGAGCATGGGGATTTTGACAAATTTTAGTAGTATCCATTAGAGATGGAAATTGAAGGCGGTACAATTTGCGCTATAGTAACAGTTTGAGATAGATCCAACATTATAGTGCGTTATACATTAACCTAGTGTTCCCCAAACTTTTTGGAGTTGGGAACCACTATTTATTACCACAGCTTATGGAGAGCCATTTAACTTTTCATGATATAACACAGAACACAGCAATGGCCGTGTTTCCTCGTAAATAAGACCTAATTTGAATTTTCAAAATGATTTTAATTAAACCCTACCCTTAAAATAAATTTAAAATGTGTGAGAGAAAAAAGGTTCAATGACCTGAGATAAGGTGGAGATCACACCACTATTCAAGATTGTGTGATGTCACAATCACAATTATAATATTTGTCACTTGATTTTTGTATAGGAAATACAAATAAAAACAAAGGATTTCGGTTGTTATATAATTTTTAATAAAAAATCTTGTGATTTTCCACAATTTCATTTTATTTTTGATAAATGAACACAAAAGACCTCCTCTAAAAAAAACATAGTGTTATTCTTCAAAAGAAATTGAATCTAAATCCTGTCTAAATTTTGGGGAAACACGGTAAGAAGTGCTGTACAGTGTTCAAAACTGCTATGCGTAAAAAAGCGACATGGTCATTTTTTGTGTTGCAAATTTTTGTTCCTTTGCGAAGATCGTAAAAAGGAAACTTCCACAGATTAGAATTTCAATTCAATTTAATTTTTTTCATTTTTTTGAAGATTCACGTATTCGAGTCGGCACCGATCCTTATACCCAGTATAATTAATCAAAGCTTTCTACATCTTTTCACGACCCACTAAGATTCCTTTTGCGACCCACCAGTGGGTTGCGACCCATAGTTTGGGAACCGCTGAGCTTAACCCATAATACTAGCTCGAATTGAATCCAACGACACAGTGTGTTATACTTTACGCCATATTACTGGCCTGAATTGATCTCACCCTTGTTTGGCGGTTCTCACTCTATCTTAGCACCGGATAAAGACTTCTTAAAAGTAAACGAAACTTTGTATAAATGTTCTAACACGCGCTGGCTCACCAAATTAGCATATCCAAGACACACGGCTAAAAGAAAACAAAAAGATAGTAACGAATATGAAATGAGTTACGTGTAAGCTTTATATCGAGGCTGATAACCCAAAGGAACAAAATTTTGAAAGAGCTGATTTGAAGCATTTTGTTTTTTAACCTCTGTAACAATTTGTCGAAATACTTAGAATATTATTGCTCCAAATTACGACTCGATACCAGTTTACTTATTTTCCTGCGATATTTTGCAAAAAAATTCCAACATTCGCCATTTTGTTTTAAAACTTACAATTTTAAATCTCACAATATTTCTACAACAGCAAAATGCAAGCCACACCCCCACCAAATCCAGTTAATGGATTTGTTGATTGCGATAACGTTGTTGCAACCGCCGGAACAAATGTCAATACAAAGTTAAGAGTGGACACTAGCTAATTGACTCAGAGAAGACAGTTTGTGAGGAAAAAGTCAAAGGTGTCGTAAAATGGAGCCATAAGGCACCAACGTGCAAAAATAAGTAAGATTATCGGTGTAACAAATGGCACTCCATGTGTGCACCAATATGGAGATAACTAATTTTGTTCGCCTACTTTTCATCAAGTTGTGTAAAGCGACTGAAACTCATGAACAGGAGGTATATTCACTCCGCTAACTCCCGAACCAGTTCCCGAACTCGTAATAGAACTAAAATAAGGAAGATCAGAATATAATTATGGCCTAACTCTAACTTGATACAGATACTACGAAATTCCCTTTTTTGGGATGTGAAGAAAAATCTTTATCTTACCTATATTTTTTCCGTACCTATAATTTTTCCGCCCAAATCGTTTTTAGACCACCAAGACTCTTGAAAACCCGCTAGTTGCTACGGGCTAATTTGGCAATTATAAATTTCGACCCCCCCCCCCTCCCCCTTACTTTGAAAATTCCTCACTACCGACCCTGTTCTTGGTACCTCAGCACACTTTATTTATTGTGTGTGAAGGACCAACAATCACCCCTTCTGAGTATCAGTAACACTCTCGTTTTTTATATATTTAATCACTTTTGTTTTTGTTGTTTTATGTTATATGCGTATATCATGAATGTTCTTTTGCTCCATTGATCAAAAATTTTAAATTAACATATTGAACAATATTTACAAAAAATATTATACAAATCAATCACTTTGGTTTTTTTGAACAGAAACTTGTGATAAACCAAAACCAATAGACCACGGTACAGTTAAATGCAACAAACCGGACAAATTAATAAATGAAGGAGCCGTTTGCGACTTCGAATGCGACGATGGTTTTAATATGAAAGGACTAGGGATGTTACTTTTGGATTTACGAATCGGATCGATTCGTATTGCATCTTTTCCGAATCGATTCGAATCAGATTTACGCGATTCGGAATAAGAGAGTGATTTACTGAAAAATAAAAACATTGAACGTTTGTTTGTTAATCGTTGTTTTCGGCGACATTGAAATCTGCCGAATGCGTTTATGCGGCACTCCAAATTACGGGACCGAAAAAAAAACATTGAACGTTTGTTAATCGTTGTTTTCGGTGGTAATAAATCTGCTGATGAAAGCGTTTATGCGGCACTTCAAATTACAGGACCGAAAAAAAAACATTAAGCGTTTGTTAGTCGTTGTTTTCGGCGGTGTTAAATCTGCGAATGCGTTCATGCGGCACTCCAAAGAACACCAAATTACGGGACGGATTTCATGATTGACTTTTTTACTTATCTGCCGTCATTTGTTCAAGTTCAGCACAACACACTCTTTTACGCATCACTCGAGATGATGTGTAACGTAATTTCCTCCAAACTGCGAGTTCAGTTTTCCACTAAATGGCCAAAGTTTCTATTTTCTATTATGCTCGAATTTAAATGGATCGTATACTTGAAAATTCGTGACAATTTTGATGAAAATTTTCAACAGCACACCTGCGCCGCGACTAAATTATTGCACGCCCTGGCATGATTGGACAAAGAATCAGCTACCGACGTCTAGATATATTTAATCTTGATTGAAATTTAATTGAAACTTTGTTCAGAGTGGAATATTTCGCGTACATTTGAAGAAAACTATTACTGAATGAGTTCACCGGCCGGCAATGTTAATTGACAATCATGTTTCTCATCCTAAAATATATATTTATTTTGTTTGCGTTTGTCAGGCTTCCACTCGCGTGGCGGTAAACGAAATCAGGACAGGACATAATGTAATGGTACATATACTTCTTTTTTCAGCTGTTAGTTAAGAAAAATAGTATTTACTTTTAATTTTGTTAGCGCGATACAAGCGGGAATAAAACATTCCGGATTATTGCTAGCAAATGTCATAACGAACAGGTGGGAGTATATAATACTTGAGGAATGGTAACTTGTGCACTGTTTTACATGAACACGTGCCAGATTTCATACCATACCAAGCATACTGTGCTAATGTCATCTTACTTTAGCCCCAGCGACCGTGTTTAATCGAGATACAGCGTCGATCAATTATCGCTCGTCAGCGCGGCGTTCATTATGCACATTTGGATATTCTGAATTACGAAATTAAACATAATCCAAGATAATGATAAAGCCCGAGTTGGCCCATAATTTTAGCCACAAATAATATTGTCTCCAATATTTATGGAAATATTTGTTCGCGATCGTAGTCGGTTGAACGATTGTTTTTCTCGAAATTAATTTAATTTAATCGTGGTTAATTTTATTGTCTTCAATCATATTCTTGCAAGCATTTCCCATTTCCAATAATTCAGATGCAATTTGAAAGTATTTGTCGTATTACTCTATGCTGCTATTGATAAAATAAATATAAAATGTTGTACTGAAATAATAACCCGGTATTGTAAAAATCACAGATAAGTTGCAAGCGCAAGTTTTTCATCAATGCATTTATTGGTGATATTTATGACCTACGTCTTTTTTATCCTGATGGAAATAAGTGTGACTTATTCACTGAAAAACCCTTGTCGTTCTTGCTGTACGGCGTATTCCATTTTCAAGTTTTTCTCTTCTAGATTTGAGATTTTTTTGTGACATTGAGCAAACATAGGAGTGCAGTGCAATAAAAAAAAAAGCTTCATGGAATCAGATTCGGAAAGATTCGATTCAAAAATATTTGATTCGAGATTCGATTCGGAAAAAAAGGTATCCAGAAGTGGCAACCCTATAAAGGACAGAAAAATGCGATATGTGAGGCTGACGGAACACGGAGTGCTGAGGCCCCAACTTGTGAAAGAAAGTGAATATTTTTTACCGTGTTTTACGCGCGTGTAAAAATTTGGTAATACCAGTGTTAAGAAATCCCGGGTCATTGACCTAGATCAGTGGCTGCTTGAGGAGAGCCTTATTTGGAATTAAAGATGTAAAAGCATGCTTGTGGTAACTGATGCGGATCTAAAGTAGGAAGAAAAGGGACTACAGTACTCTCCATATTTGATTCAATTGACAATTTCCAGGCTCAATTTAGGTTAAAATAAAATAAAAATTCAACCTAGCGAGCAATGCATTCTTTGTATCAAGTAAATTTACCCAAGTATTGTTGCAATATTTATTTTCCAAATCAAAACCAAAACAACAAATTTTAAATTGAGAATCGATGATTTTAATTGTACTTATGATAGATCCAGTGAAATAAAATGCAACCAGGCTGACGTATTATTATACTAGGATCTCACAGATAACTCCGAAAAGCTTCCATGTAGGGTGAACATTCACCATCCCTTGGAAACGATTCGGGTTCGAATAAACATCAAGATAAACATTTGTACGATTTTTAAAAACTCTTCCTGTGAATGGAAATCCTGGACGCCATTTAACAAAGGATTCTGCAGGTGCAACGTCATGAGTCTGAAAAAAATAAAATGAAAAATGATATTATTGGACAAAATCGAACAATTTTTGATGAAATTAAGTATCAGTGCTTCGTCGATCATGATTAACGAATATACTTAATTGTAAAAAGTTCTTGATCGGGAAGGCACCAAGTATTCAATATAATCGTAACCAATTAGTAAATAAATTTTTTATCATCGTCATCGTTTAAACCAAGGTGGTCCAAACCCAGGGCCGCGGGCCACATGTGGTCCGCCGTTTCTTTATCTGTTTCGTCATAAAATAACCAGAAAAATCTTTTGACATATTTTTACATCACTAATGTCACTGAGTTGACCAGTGTTATGGCTAACTGAGGCAAATAGCGCATCTGAGTAATTTGTTAACTGGGATTCTATATTTTTGGTCGGGAATAGCCTATATCCTAACAAAATAGGCTTCATGGAAAAATAAAAATCGACTGACAAATTTATTAGCTTATGTTGGCTATGCCTGATTACTGAATATTAATTGGCCAAACAATATAATTCCTGTTGAGTAGTATTTGCTACCAGCCTGAGCAGTATTACAAAAAAATGCTGCATATGTCAGAAAATTTAGTAATTACAATCCTGTATCTCAAATTTGGTAAAATTCGGTAATCAATCATTCTGCCGTTACTTGTAAGTTATTTAAACATGAATTTGAAAAGAAAGCTGGTCAATTCAAATAGATTTTTAACTGGATATGGGAGGGAAAACACAAAATGCTTGCTTGATATGTCTGCAAGTTGTGTCTGTCGTTGGCAATCAATATCAGCTCGATTTTTCACAAAACACTTTACGAGAGATGGTGGAAGAACATGAAGATACCATTCGTGAAGAATTAGGACATTTGCAATTGATTAAAATGTTTGCAAAACAAAATGAGAGAATTATGTGAAAGAACTATATATGTATAGTAAGATTTCCGCGGGTTTTAGTTAGTTTTTTGTGGTTTTAGCTTGATAAATGACAAATATTGATCAACTTGTTTGGACAATGAAAAAGTTTGTTTTGTAATGCACTGTTCTTGGCACTATTGTGGCCCGCGAACAAGGCGATTCATTAACATGGACGACAAGTAAAAACCTCTAGTTAATTACTATCAGATCCTCATGCTTTTCGGAACGTGTATATATAAAACAAGCTATAGGACGCAAACCATTGGATCAATGTGAATTCCTGTCCATATAGAAGTCATAGTTCGTCCTCCCAGAGTATTCCTCGTGTAATTCACAACAGCATTGTAAGATTTTTCATCTCGAAACAGAACAACATCTGCCTTGCGTCTCTCACAAGTTTCAGCAGCTTCATTGTAGCTGACATTTTGAAGTAAATTTACCACAGCAAAGTAGCAGATATTTCCAATTTTTAATTTGCAGTCTTCTATAAATAAACATTGTTCATTTTGAAAAAAATATCGTATTATGTAATAATTCCAATATATATTTACTTAATACAAGAATTAACAGGTACCTTCCAACAATAAGTAAGTTAAATTATCTTCTTAAATGGTTTTGTTGAATAGACTATACAGGTAATTTTGTGTTACTTTATTTTGATGAGTAACAGAAAGTCTTTATACAATTGAAAAACGGCTTGACTCAATACAAAAATATCAATTGCTTTGTCGTTTTAATCTATCACATCTATCACTCTCACACCAAGTATCCTCTTGATCAGGGCTACTCAACCGGCGGGCCGCGGTCCGAATCCGGATCTTTCGACCATGCACTATGGACCGCGTCTGCAGCATAAGCATCGTCTCATAGTTTTTGATGATTTCGATACTATTAACATACATTCCAATTTGCGACATTTGTGGCCAAATTTGTGAGCCATTCATTGCTCTTGATTTTAATTTAATAATGCATTTGTATATTTCATAAAATAATTTTTCTGAAATGTGCGGACCCCAGTAATTTTGTTTCCCCAGAAGTTTTGTAAACGGACCTTTAGTGAAAATAGTTGAGTAGCCCTGCTCTAGATATTCAGATTCTACGAAACAGGATAATTCTAGTAAAAAAATACCTAATAGTGAAGTTGGTTTTACTGTTGTTTGAATTGTTGTTGTTGGTTCGGTAATTTGAAGCTGTGGAGAATTCTCTTCAGCAAGTTTTTGTTCAATCCGTGATATCGCTAAATACAATATTAAAAAAGTTCAATTACATCATCTATTGTTACTTTTGAAGGAAATATAATGTTACCTTTTATTCTAAAATTAAAAAAATGACAATGATCAATTTCACTTTGACATTTTATTAAAAAACTGCTCTAAAAATTATACTTTAGATCACGCACTTGACTAGCGTACAGGTTCAAGCTCAAGATGAATGTTTGATTTTTATAGTTCCTCATTTTATAAATGTTTAAAAAAAAACATATTCGACATCTGCAAAATTATTCAGGTGGATTAAAATAACTTATGAAAAAACTAACTGACCTTTGTTCATCTTATTGTTGTCTTCCATCAACTTATTACTCATTTCTTGAACTTTACCCAAATCTGATAAAATAAAATCGTTATTATTATTATTGGAATAAAATAATAATAATAATGATGTGATTATCAAGTCAGTGAGACATATCTTAAAAAAAAACGAGTTCAATGCTATTAAAATTGTGACTCTGATGAATTAACCTTTCAAGGTGACAAGGAAACGATAACATATATGTGTCACAGAGCAGTGGTTCTCAATTTAATGTGCCTGTGGACCCCCTATGCCTCTCTGGGGTATCCGCGGTCCCCAAACATTTTTTGATACCGAAGGTCTAACTTGGATTGAGTCTTTGTCGTATTTTCCCAGTTGAGTCATTTTTCTGCTTTTAGAATGAATGCGAAACTTTACAGTACCGGTAGTCCGAAGAGATAGCTGGAATGCGGTCACAGAACCACGGCATAGAGAGGTCATCACACACCAATTTGAAGTGAAAAACGAATTCCATAGACCAAACAGAACATTTCAAAATAAGGAAAAGTAATATCCTTCTGGCGACAACTTTAACTGTTGAAAATTTGGAAGCAATTGTATTCTTTAATTAAACAGAAGAGCGATTATTTCACAACAACAAGGAGAAAAATCAAAATGACAACGTTAGCCTATAACCTAAAAATTACAGACTCTTGCAGCTCCCCTGATATTTCCCAGTTTGACTACCACAACCGCACTAGTTAGTTATCATGTGATTGTTAGGTCAGACACCGTAAATAGATAGATTATTGGGATTGAATGTCTCAGAGGAATGAAATACTATTTAACCTGAAGCTTATTACTTATCGATTTTAATCGGTAAGTATGTTGATAGGTATTCGTCTGTTTGTTTGTCTGTTAGATGCACGCAATATCTCACGAAAGCGAGATTGAATCTGCTCCAGATTTTGCATGTGCATTCATCATATGTCGGACCAGAAGCCTATTGATTTTGGATGAATTATGCAAGGTGTCACTATGGAGTAAGAGCGCTGTTTTGGGATTCCCTAACTTTCGATCGATAAGTCTTCGGTCTCTGACCGATATTCTCGTTTCATGATTTACTTGTATCACAATATTTTTATCTGATTATTTAACAAGTTCACGAATTAACTATATCTAATTTTATTTTTAAATAAAACAAATTTACAACATACACCAACCTGTCTTCAACTCTTCGATAACGACAGATTGTCGAGCAGCTCTCCTCTCAAGTTGTTTCATTGCAACAGATCGAATTGCATAGTTTGTCATTAAATCAGTAATTTGTTTAGATTGCAGAACAACCTTGTCACGAAGATCGATGTATTCGGAAGATTGATTCTTCTTCTTGACGCACGTCTCACAATTTTCTACCAAAAACATTGGGTTTAAATTACATCTTTCTAACAAAACTTCCGTGTGACATGAAAACAATAATTTCAGTAGCTATCAACAAGAATCAAATGTTAATGACATTCAAATATCAATGCTAGACCCAATTCACTGTTAGATTAAATTTTTTTCGAACTAAAACGAGTAAAAATATTAAAGAAGAAATTTGTTAAATCTAACCCGAATCTTTTTTTTCAACATTCCCAACGTTTTTATCGATTTTCCCTTCCAGTTCCTTTAATTCTGATCTGATCAGTCCAATATCTGAATAAAATATGAGTTTTCTAGTGCAACCGCCTTATTGATTCGGTTGACAATGTTTAATGATCCGGTTCAAAAAATTGAATGTTACATCAAATGCGCTACTGATAGGGAGACATAGTGAAATAAAGAAAATTGTCTCAGTTTAAAGCAAACAGGAAAAAATTGCATTTTGTCAATGATGAAAAGTTGCATTTGGAAATGCGCCAAATCGTACAATAAAATGCGCATCTAACAGTGAGATTTTTTATGTATAAGTGTGACATCTTCAATGCTAAATAGTGAGAAAAGTTTTGTCACCAAGTATTTATAATAGTAAAACACTACTTGCCTAATATGTTACTGGACACTATAGTAGAAAGATTGAAAAGGTTCGCGGAGCCCTTTGATTTACATGTAATCGGGAATTCTTTATCATGCAGATGTTCATCAATGTTGTAACCTGGCCTGTCCCATCCTACGGCAACAGGATCACATTGTGCCATCTGGCAGCCAGATTTGGGAGAGCAGTGAAACACTACTTCATTTTGACACCAGGATGAAAGTATGACGTTTATTAAGATAAAAACGATTGAGATTTTCATCTCGAAGTATTACTGTAACTATTAAGTAGTATTTGAATTAGATTTATTATATATTTCAATTGCAAGCACTGCATGACGAGCATTGTTTTTGTTTCCAAATATTGTACACCTCATACATAGTCTCTACTGTATTTGCTGTGATTCATACACAGTAATCAATAGTTAATTTTCCCCATACTGAAAAAAGGGGAAAAAACAAATTGCAATAAATTATAAATAGGCCATAATCTAAGGTGAAGGAGACGCGGGAAACCAGTACTGGTTTTCGAGCAGCGGCCCCCATAAAAAAATCTAACACTATATTATAAAGATAAAAAAAATAAACTATGTAAATTGAAAAAAAAAAATATATATATCTCGAGGCGATCTGCTACAAACCAGCAGTCGCTCGCTTCAACAAAAGAAAGACAATTCCAAATACCACTAACTCGGTAACCATGGAGATGGCAGCAGATGATGGCCTGTATCACAACAATACCATTGTGAGATGCGCATTGTCTAACAATGGGCAATATACGTTTAGATTGCAATGGCGCAGGGTTAAATAGGAACCCACGGTTTGCTGAGGGTGATCACAACAGGATCACCAAAGAATAAACCATAACTTTATTGTAGGAAGAAATTGTGCTACCTGTTATTGTGATCAAGTGATTGGGAGGTAGAGTCAGGGTTTCACATAACGTTACATGAATTATAAAATCAAAGAAGACATGAAATATCAAAATATGGTAAAAGATGTTCCAGAACAATCACAAACCGCTAACACTGTATTCTAGGTCTAGGATATCCAACCGTGGAATGATATTCAGTCTCTTTCGCGAAAAAATACATTACTTGTAGTGACGATTTTAGACTTGTTTTGTAGTATACAACATCAAGTTTTTCCTTACTAATATAATTTAAAGTTAATCTTACTCTGTTTCTCTACGACCACCCGCGACGATAGGATGTCAAATTCTTTATTAGCGATGTTAAGACATTAAGTATGAGTTTAAAATTTTTTTTATAACATAATTAACTTGACTGATACCGCTCTACTTTAAAGCTATACTTGCAATACTTCTAATACGGGCTCAGGCAAATAAGACGAGAAAATGTTTAAAGGATTGCAGACTTTATACCATGTGACTTCACAGATTCAACATACTGCATCACTCCAAACAGTGTCGAGCCAAATAACCGCTTTTGTACTATTGGTCATATTTTCGAGAAATTTAACGTTTTTTGTCTTTGGTGTGTTATTAAGCGAATACTCCGTAATTATGTTGAGAATCCGACTGACGGTTAATGAGCGTTTGTTTAGTTTAATCTCGATTTACGTGGGAGAAAAACATTCAGATTATTTCAACCATAATTATTTCGGAAATATAAGACGTTAATAGAGATTAGGAAATGTTGTGGAGTTTACATAAATTCACGTTTTATCGATTCCATGTTGAGGTTATGAAGTTATCACATGAGAACATAATTTTTTTTAAATATATGAATGAAAATGTCACACTGATGATGCTATAAACCTTTAGCCGTGAAATATTGAAGCTGCTGCAGTTCTTGTGATGATATTAATTATATGCAATAAAAAATAATCAATCAGTAATTTATCAGCGTTTGTATATTTATTAATATCTTACCAAATGTTAAAGATATACAATGTTCTGTAATGAAAAAATAAAATTTATTTTGTTTTTAATTCACTGACCTTTGTTAAATTGGTATAGGCGTTACCGAGATTTTTATCGTTTATATTTTAGGCTGAATGGCGATCAATCAGTATGAAATGCTCTTATTGTTTTTATATCCAATGTGCATTCGTTGTTCAATAACTATCTGAATCGGTGTGAACGAAGGTTGTAATAAACGTATTTTATTTGGCTTTAAAAACAATCGCCAGAGCTGTTTTTAGTTTTAATGTATTCGGTTATGATTTATTTGGCGTTGGATACATTTGGCAGAGATGCTTACAGTCCCGAAACTAAAAGCTGGGAAATTAGCGCATGGGATGTAACCCGGTTATTATACTAAAATATCACTGAGACTATGAAGGAGTACAGTAGTAAATTACTAAAATGCATATGCAAACATAAAATAGTTTTACACAGAAAAATAGGAAGAAATATTAAATAAATCCCTCCCGTGAGTTAATGTTGTCAAACAACATTGCAGGAAGTTATCTTGCTTACAAACAATATACATGATGGATTATTCAATTTTTTTTTATTTATTCGTGATCGAAACATATTTAGGTTGGTTGAACGTGATAAATTCGGTAACGTGGAAGACTCAATTGACAATCAGGAATATTGCGAAATGGTTTCGTATTATTATTAATGGGATTCAGATATTTGGGTTACGTAGTTATTCAAATGCATGAGCTTTCTTCAACTCTAATATGCGAGTAAAAACTTACTTTGTCATTTATAATTGTCGTATATAATCCAAAACGTTCTAATCAACCTAACATGCAAAAGTGTCACAATGATGATGCTGTAAAATAAAAATTAATTTCAGTAGAGAATAAGGAATGCGGTTTTAGTGGCAATTTGTCAACGTGGCTATATCTATCATTAACTAACCAAATATGACGGATATTCAAAGACAATTAAACGAAGGATAAAAGTTATTTTATTGTTTATACTCCATCAAATTGATAAAACGCGCGCGTTGGATACTATTGCCTGTTGATAAATTTATAATAGGGTTTCGGGGTTGAATCATTAATTGAATTTGGTAAATTTTATACTCATTGTCATTTAACCGACTACAATTATATTTGAATTACCGACTTCGCAACTTGATAATTAAATCAAATTTTACCAATCTTTTTACACATATTCTAAAACTTTGCAATAATTAGGCTTCCCGCTGCTTGTCAGCAGGGAACCTATTGTATTCCTGTGTTTTATTATTATTATTTATTTATTATTATTATTTTTTCAGATTGGTCCTACAAACTTGAAATTCACCTCAAATGTGCAGAAGTTCTCAGCTAGCATTAAAATGCAATTTTTGTTTTACGCGGGAAGCCTGTTAAAGCTGCACGCAGCTCCAGTTTCAATTATACCTCCACAGGTATATTAATATTGTAACATGAAAGTGAACTCTCGGATGTATTCCTGAAATACTTTATCAAAATTCAACTAAACCATCTCCGACATTTTTATCATTTTAGGTTTTGTATTAAACGCAATTTCAAACCTTATAATATATGCTTAATCTGATACATTTTATGAAAAAAAACTAGCCTATTACTTTTCTTATTTTTAAAGATTTTTCTCTGACAACAAGTCAGGCCTGGTAAAACAAATAACCGTACCTGATATATTTGAATTCAAAGAAACTACTAAAAAATGCGGGACAATGTGAAACAAAGCAAGGCAGCAGAAAAGGCCAATAAGAAAACCGGAAAGAACTGACCGGAAGCATCTAACGCCTATCAACAGCCTAAACCTGAAAAAAAATTTTCATAAGATAATATCAGGAACAATTCAGAAGTTTTGCTGCATATACGAGTATATAATTCTTTCTTACATTCACCTAAATCTGGTATATGTCATCAACAATCTAATCCGACTATAATAACAAAATAAGATGAGAATACACAACCGTTTTTCTGTGTGAACATTACAAAATTACTGGCGTTGGATGAATACTTTTTGGCAAAAACACATTTCACCACAATATAATAATAATAAGCAAAACAATGATGAAAATTACAGTACATTATTAAACATAAATTAATGTTGAATGAAAAGTACATTTTTCAACATTATCCAATGCGACGAAACCTGGCAAACAAATAACTCTTAGCCTCATTTTTAATGAGTACTAATAAATCAGTGAATATTTAATTATACGTATGATTACCATGAACATACCGAGTTAATAATTTGATCTTCCTTATGTAATTAAATGAAAAAAATACTTACATGATTGTAAACATCGCTACAAGCAACTTCACAAATCAATAAAAAAAAATTTGTCAAACACACAATAACCTTCAATATACGGCAACAATAAGTTTCATATAAACGATAAAATAAGAAATTCTAAAATGTTAAAAGAATATCATGATACAGTCATTACTGTCAACAAACTTGTTCGGTCAAATCTATAATATTTTATAGCCAGAGGACATTGAGATCCAAAGTTGGGATTGTTGATAAGGGATTCACATACTTTGCTAATGCTTGGCAAGGGAGAAATTGTTGGCAAAAAGGTTGCTGAAACTGTTTTTACAGTCAAGACAAGTAATTTTGAGTTACGGAGTTTTGGAAAGATGCATAGCTTTTGTGTGAAAAACATTTTTGAAAGATAACTATCCAAAGTGATTTAAGAGTCTTGCTGCACACTAACACAAATATATTTCAGTAACGATTCGTCTGACCAACGTCAGACTTCCTCGGACATACATAGTTCTACTAGTTCATGATCAGGTATTTTACTCTTGCTAAAGCATTCTTACATTATATGCATACAGATTGACCAGATAGAAGGGAGATAAGCAATGAGTCTCGCGGAAACCAATTCATTTAAAAAAAGAGCGATTTTGAATGGGAGATAACATTGCACCGATCCACTGCCGTCAGCCTCGCTTGTTATTGCACTGAAATACAGAATGTTTTTGGTTCCGAATTGATCAAATTTTAATATCATATTATAGTGTAATACCTCCGTATTTATAGTCTGTTTTACTTTCTTAATTAACATACACCTTTGCCTTCTATGATTCTGATTTCAGAAGGTATGAACTGAAATTAAATTGCTTTCATGATTTCTCAATTTTCAGTATTTTATAAATCACTTTAAACGGGTTTTTTCTTCAGAACTTTTAGAATCTAGCGAACTAATCAACTAATTGCTCTCATATGACTGATATTGAATTTAACTCATTATCGTGCCATCTCTTCGGTTTACGAATAAATGCCTGTGGTTAAATTAAGTCGTGACGCAGTTTCAGATCTTATAGGATTAGCGATTTAAGTGTGGCGTTTAATTATCGGATGAAATATAATATAAGTTTACAATTTATTCTATAAAGCAACATGAGAGTTACACTTATTTACATGTGATTTAAAAGTAGATGTGGCCTGTTCGAGATTACAATATTACATATGCTGCTTAAAGTTTGCTGTATAATCAGAAAAAAACTTTTCCATAATATATCAATAAATCGAGTTATGTTGTTCCATAACCAGACGCATTCGGCATAATTCATTTTTAATGATCTCAATCCGAGGTATCGTTATCAAGAGATAAGAAA